TGTGCATCAGCACATTGCACACAAGGTTCATGTCTATTAACCAGGCTGGTCTATGATGTTTCATACAAGAGAAAAGAGACAGAAAACAAGTTCTAACTCGCGTGAGTCCAGCTTTCTCTGAGGACTGTTCTATTCACCGCTGGAGGCAGGTCTGAAGTATTGATTCATTGATTTCCTGTGGGTGGAAAAGAAGCCGTATCTGAAACCAGGATTTAATTTGGGCAAGTGAATCTTCAAGGTGTGTTGTCACAAAATAAATGTCCTATGTTGCTCTAAAAAAGGAAAGAATGAAATGGCCTGAATGGCTCATCACACACGCTGACACAGCATGACCTGGAGCACAGAGCCTGTCTGTGTCCACAGCCTGCAGACAACAGGTTAGTCCACTGACTCAATTACTTGATACAAATCCAATTACCACAGCACCAACACAAAGTGCAGTTTGGATATTGCTTACAGTGGTATTATAGTAAGGGAGTTACAAGTGGGAATGAGCACGCGCAAACACACACACACAACACACACACACACACACACACACACACACACACACACACACACACTTGTTTGGACTGAGGCAGAAGTATCTCTTTGCATATTTGAGACACTGTGGCACAGTATAGGAGTGACAGAGGCAGATTTTCTCCTGCATCATCAGCACTTTTCCCTCTGTTTTGTGTTTTAGAGAAAAATTCATGATGCGTTGTATTTGTATCTCAGGGTAGTAGTGCTGCTCTGGGATCAGTTTCGCCTCAGTTTTTCTTTGTACATACATAATAGTTTCTGCATAGAAGAATATAAGAAGAACTTGGTGTAAACGCTTGGAAGATATTATTAATGAAGAATGACAGGAGTTATTGATTTGTCTGTTAGGAAATACCACTGTGGTGGGGTGGTCAATGGGCAGACGTGGCACAAAGGTACAGGGCACAGTTTGAGTCAATGAAAAGTGAAGTCAAAGCAACCTGTTGTGGTGATGCCACGCATGCACGTACTGCACCTACAGGAAGGTTTCAGTGTAGTGTATAGCAGGCCCACAACACATGTGCATGAACATCTGGAACTCTCTGCACTTCATGGTTAGACAGCGTCAGCATCCAACTGTGAATGGATTTGGAGCAGTTATTGGTGTCAGAGGTTTCTAAAGATGGTGGTAAAGGCTGGTAATTAGGAGAGCTCATTTTGCAGGTGTAACTGCAGTTGTAACTGGTAAAGGTAGGTTCTGACAGGTCTATACACAACCATGTTGTCGCCCATGGAGACACCTTTTTGGGGCATGGCTGAGAGCAGTGACTGCTTTGTTGTGACATCACAAAAATTAGTCCTGATGGCTGGTTTTAAGGCTCAGTTTCTGAATACAGGCTGTGTGCATTTCTCTGTGGACTCAGCGCTTTGACACTTTCACAGTATTAATATAGAAGCTAGACCTGATTTATAAACAAACATATATGGAAATTTCAGCTTATATAATATTAGACGGGTGAGAAGAGAATTTATCATATTTAAGAGGCAGAAATTTCTTTTCTAATGCAGTTACTGTAATAATAGTGTCACGTCCAACAAAAAGAGGCAGAGCACTGACAGGCTCAAAGCTCACCCATTGGCAAGCACAACTGCAACAATTAGTCCAACTGCAAGGATGAAACCTTGAGCAGAAAAAATCATCAAGGAGAAAATCCTCCTTTTGAACAAATGAGTTGGAGCATAACCCAGCCTGAATATACTCCTGAGTAAAACGGATGTAGCTGTAAAATCACCAGATCATGGAGACAAAAACACAGCATCTCTCTGTGTCTCTCTTTCCTTCCTACCATCCTGTCCTCTGTGTCACCCTACTACTTTGAGAAAGTGGGAGTATTATTAAGAGTGGAATTTAATCCTGGTTGGCGGCTCATCAAAGCAGCGGCACCAACTTTGGCTCTGGCTGAGCTGGGGAGGAAGAGGCATCGGAGACACGGCGGCAGCTACAGATGTCTATATGTTACACTGGATGTATGGCCTTTTCATCTGATTTAACACAGACAAAATCTGTGTTTGTCAGCTTTAATCATCCAAACAGCTTTTAAAAGCCTCCAACAGAACAAAAGTCAGCTGGCGGTGCTGCTCATGTTTGAAGCTGCCAAGCAAAGGTTTTCATGCGCGAAGTTAGAAAAGTTCAAGAAAGGCAACATTTGCTAAACTGCATGGCCCGAGGATGGTTAGATAAGTTGGTTTGTCCCGTCTGTCTGTGCAAGACTTTGGTCCAAAGTATAATATCTTGAAAATCATTGGACAGATTTCCATGAAAAGTGTGAATAAGTGAATAATCGTGGTCCCCAGAGGAAGATCCAGAATGATGTCATTGACCCTCCCTGACCTTTTTGTTTAAGTCCACTGAGGTAATAATTCCTCTTGACCAACACCTGGGTCCATGAACAACTAATATCTGCATTTCCTTAAAATTGGCAGTGGATATTCATGATCCCCAGAGAAGGAATCCCACAAATCTTAATATTCTCAATATGTCCACTTGTAGACAATAAATATCCTAATCTAATGGACAAGATTGTAATGACATTTATTGGGCTCATTCATTCTGCCAAAATGACAAATCCTTTCCATTTTGGACAGTCTCACTTTTTTTTCTCTAGGGCTACTATCAGACTGAAATATCAATCTATGAAATTGAATGAACACATCCGTTTCCCTGAAGGGATAAACCCTTTAAATGTCTGTGAGACAGGGTTTTTCCTCTGACATCAAATGGGAAAATTTAATAGACATTAATAAACTAAATTACTCTTCATTTTTATTCTAACTTTACACAGATCTGTACCATGTTAAAACATCTATGACAGTATGCTATTTACAGTGTATGCACATATCATTTATAGATATTGACTACACTTAAGGCGATTAGTGCCATCAGCTGTTAAATCACCCTGCCTCTACTGCTGCCTTTGCCTTGCACTGTGATATGATGGTGACACTGTGATGCGCCGTCAAGAAGAGGAAACCATCAGATGGAAAATATCAATTTAGTCCCCAGTCAGAAACCCAGTTGGAGACAATATGGTGGTTTTCCCGAGCCTTGGATCCTCCAGCAAGTTTACATTTAAATCTGGAGGATAATTAGTGGTGTAGTGGACAGTAATCATAATGTACTCATGGTACCTTCAGCACAGATACAGTTCACAAGCTGGCACTCCTCTGCCATACTCTCAGCTGAGGATAATGATAAAAATACATTTAAATCCTGTTTGTCCACAGTCTTCCCCCTTGTTTCCCTCCACTAATACCCAGACATGGCTGGTAGGACTTGTGGTAATGAAGATGGTGGGAACTGGATACCTTGTGGATAGAAACCAGAGCAGGTTACAGTACACCGTGATAAAATTCCCGAATCCACACGCCAAGTTTCCCTTTGCCTCCTCCTCCTTCTCCACTTTTCCACTCCCTAGCTCCCTCTCACTTCTTCTGCCTCTCCCTCTCCTCTGCTTTCATTTCCCTCTACTTTCCTTGATATCTGATCCAGCAGAGACGCTCAGGTTACAGTTTTTACAGCTTAGCCAGCCCAGCGCTGTATACATTCCTTTCTCCCCTGTTTCCTAACCCACTCTCCAGCTTCTCCATACCCGCTCCTCCTTCTCCTTGATTACTCACCGGGGCTTATTTTACCGTGGCACACTTTAAGCAGCCAGATGAAGGAAACACTGTCAGACTGTTGGTTTTTTAGAGGAGTATGATCCCTCACAAGGGCACATTGTGGGTCTGTGTTAGTATTTTTTCCTCTGGCTTTGGTCTGAAATATTCAGGCTGAGAGAATCTGAAGAAGAGAAGGCAACAAACTGAGTCTTTTTGTTCTGAACAGTTGTAAAAGAGGAATCTGAGCCTTTTCTACAGAAAATCAATACATTAAAATTCACTCGCTGGATTTACTGCTCTGGGGAGACCATCATACAATCAGTGGCATAGTGTTAATTACCTGCAACTCTGCAGGTTGTAATCCATGGCTCCAGGTTTACATATGGCTTTGTATCAATACATGCAATAACCTCATGTTATGTCATATTAAATACATCCATAATTATTAAACCAGATTTTCCTCATTAATCACAGTGTTGCTGTAGGACTGTAGGCAACATCTATTTTCTGGGTTAGATAGACTCACTTTAAATTGCATCTGTGGATCAGTGTTTTCCTCATTTAACTTTGCAGACGACACATTGTGTGAGTGAATATGTGCGTGTGCGTGACAGGAGATGAAATTGTAGTGAGCTACAATCGAACTTGTGTAGCCTTGGAAAGTGTTTTGACACCATAACCACATCTGCTGCTTCGCTCAGTAACTTCCTCTGGTATTGATGGAGACACTGGAGGTGTCACGGGAGAGTGTTGATTTTCCTACTCACCGTCAATACAACAATACGTCTGCTGTAGACTTTTTTTCTTTCTTTTTTTTTTTACATTTTGTGTTGACATATCAAAAAAATCCACATGCTAAACTGACATTTTCATTTGGTCAGGTGCATCTTCCACTTGACTGATTGCAGTTACCCTTAAATTGAGCCGCTTCCATCGAATGAGATGTTTAAGTGACACGTCGGCTCTTCAAAACATATTATAAGTGATGTCAATTGACTGAATTCTGAATGATGACCAGCGTCATAAAATCTATCATCTAACAGGAAAACATACAGACCTGCAAATAAAACATCATTTCTGACTGATGACTGACATCATATAATTACACAGTCAATGTGATAAATTATAAGAGAAGACATCTTATTTTATTTTATCTTTTTTACAACATGAGCCCAAATAGATTTATGGTGATTTTTTTGCCTGATATTTCCTTCCTGCTGCAATTGTAAAAATGACTCAATTAAATCTGAACTTGTGCTTAAATACCTCAAGACGACACTTCACTGTGCCTTAAGGATGCTCATAAAGATTTATACCATTTTTAATGCTCTGCTGAGACTCCTTGTACTACTCCACTGATAGGAAATAAGGAAAATTCTCCATGGAGAGACCCTGCCTGACAACCCCCCACCTCCTGCATCCCTCCCCTCTGTCATCAGGACCAGGCACCAGAAGGATGGGTTAAGTGTATTCCTTCACAAAGTGAAGAGCATGACAAATATTTTCAGTTTTATCAAGTAAAATCTCCAGTTTAACAAACAGTTAAAATTCCATCATTACAGTAAATGAACTCACCTTTCTCTGAGATCTCCAGTTCATTTTTTTGGTAACAAGCAATGACATCTCTAAGGATTCAGTCTGAAAAGGTTTGCATCAAGAGAAAAATACCTCAAATACAGCAGATTGCTCTGTTAATTAATAGGCTACATTATCATGTAATATTATTGTAGCTAACTGCCTGTTCCTGATTGCTCTATGATAATAATAAATGCTTCTTTGGCAGCAGAGCTCCCCAACGAGCCATCTATATTGTCATCAATAAACTGCATATTTATTTTCCTTCTTCTTTTTTTTTTTTTTTTTTTTACAGTAACAGAGGAGAAGCAGTGACAAATGGTGTTTTGGAGAGGTTCAAATACAAAAAGCCTTTATGCCAGGGTTGTTTCAGGACTCGCTCAGAGCCAGCACCCTCGCTTTTCCTCTGACAGCCTAAAATCACAATTTCCAGAATTATTCTCGCTGTGATCACCTGCATATCCATCCACACCAGCATAAACACTGCGTGCTTATGTGTCTCCAGCCAAATGTGTACAAACAATGAGGAGCAGGAAGACAAAGCGGACACACAGCCTGCCTCACACACACACACACACACACATGCCAAGAACACTTTCTTTCTCCACAATGAACCGCACGGAGCGCAGGGCTCAAATATCACTATGTGCACCGAGCGAAAAACCACCAATAGAAACAACGTGTGGCTGGATATCGGGATTGAACCGTGCAGGCCGAACACGGGAGACAATGTGCTCTTGTCGAATGCGTAAAGCTCACAGACGCACATCTGGATTACACGCCTCTGGGCAGCTGGGCAACACACACACACACACACACACAAACACACACACACACACACACACAAACACAAACACAAACACAAACACAAACACACATCTCGACTCAGAGGCGAACCCACACAGTCGCATTGGACCCGTAAACGCATCGTGGATATGCGAGTGTTCCCCCATTGATTTATAGTACTTATGAACATTGGCTGCCGTCCGTTGCGCCGTAGTGTTATAGTATTAATAGTAGCCTAATAGTAGAGGCACTGTTGACGCCTTCACTGACGCACTGGATTTTCCATTAACTCTGAGTAAGCCATGGAAGGCAGGGCACACAAAAAGCGAAATTATGACATGAAGCGACAGGAACGCTCACTGTATTCTCCACTGATCCAAAACTTACTAGGAGAGCAGTAGCAGTGAATGGGTGCCGCATCCATTGTGCAAGGCGGTATATTGGCGGAGTGCGCTGCTGAGGCTGGCATTCATATGGATAGGACAATAGAACTTGGGTAAAAAAAAATCATAAATCAAAGTTTGACTATCATGCAGCCAGTTGCACTTGAGTGTATTGTATATATTTCACTGAGAACGCCTGGTTAGTGCTTCAACACACATGCATGCTCCTCACAACCACTCTGTTTCCACGCGTAATCACATGCAGCTGGGCACAGACCCCCTTTTACCTTCATCTCTTCATTTATTTCCCTTTTCACCGGGTGTGCTGGTTTTCGGCTTCTTTTATTTTCCGGAGGTCTGCCCTCTTTTTCCATCTCTGCCATGTTTTCTCTGTGATACTTCTGTCAATATTTGCGGTGAGGAGGGGAGAGGAGGGGGTGAGAGAGGCAGCGGCAGCTGTTTACAGTCGCCAGACGGCGGATGTCTTGCAGCTTTTCAGCGGCCCGTGTGACGCTGGTGATGCCGCCGACGGCTTGCGGTGCCCGGCTAAGTCAGCCATCTTCTGCCCGTATCCTCCACGGTCCGTGTGCCAGTGGTGAGCCGCCTCTGTGAGTCAAAGGAGAGGTTGAGTGAGGGGAAAAAACGAGACAGGGGGAGGGGCGTCCGCTGAAACATTATATGACGCGTTGATGATCAGAGGTAGGCTATTTCTTCTCGCTTTCCCATGGAGTGCAATCAGAGCAGTCACATCCACTTAGCGCTGCTCCCTCACGGTGACAGTCTGTAAGCAGCAAACAGGTGCCCACACACTCCTCCAGTCCCACATTGTTCTTCAGATGAGTGTTACAACCTACTGGTGTTGGTCATAATGAGATTTAGTTACAGACTCCGCTGCTTCAGTCAGTTAACAGCACAAAGTCAAGAATCAAGTCTGTTTAGCTGCATGTGGAGAGACACGCAGCTGGCAGTCTTTACCAGGGAAACTCTGCAGGTGTAGTGAGTGTAGTGCCTTGCACAAGGACACTACGGTAGGTCGATGGCTGTTGCTGGGATTAAAATCATGGCTTTAATTATTTTTGCAAACTTTTCACGTCATAGGGAAAAGTCAGTGGAGCAGGTGTATAATGATTCTCGATGAGAAAATGAAAGTGTGTGTGTTAGTGCTGCCTAAAGCAAACCCTTCATCGTAATGAGGGAGACGGTGCAACACGCTATCAAGGCCAAGGGAGACTTAGGTGTGTTGATTTTGTAATGACCGAACCATCGTGGTGAAAATGAAAGTTTCCATTGGACCTTTAGTTTAGTTCCTTCTTCTCCCTCAGGCTGTTTATCATAATCAGGTTCATCATCAGACACTTGTAAGAGACTAGGTGAAGGTCTCATACAGGCCACATGCAACCCAACACATCATCAACGGTGTAAATCAAAAAATTATTTAAAACCCATTTAAATAATGTTTTTTCCACATTAGTGGACTGATAAATAATAATGAACATCTCACTTTCAATCCAAGGTTAAAAGACAAAAACTGGAGTTGTAGCATAAGGATCCACTCCTTAAAAACATTCATTCCAATAAATCATAGCTGGTGATTTCGAAATAAATAGTCTTTATAGTGCTGGGGGAAATTTGTCTTACAGCCTGCACACATGCATGTCTCTGATGGAAAACATCTGCATGCAAAACACAATATTCACATGATCACATGTGCATGTATACTGTGTATGCCCTATATATCTAGATGTATTAACATGCACATGTAGACATGCATTGGGCTATAATATACAGCTGTCTTGAGTTGCTGTTGGTCTTGTTTATTAAACTGTTAAAATTACATGTTGATGCTGTGACAGTGTGACAGCATGTTGTATAACACTGGATTTCCTCAGGTAGGGCCTCTCACTTAATGCAAAACAGTGCTGTTACTGGCATATGAAATAGATTCAGAGCCCTTTAATAAATGATTTTTGCTTTGGGCATGAATCTGTGTGTTTCAACTGTGTGCTACATGCTGCCCTCTGACTTTAACTGGAATTACAATGAGTCGACAGGTGGAAAGCTGCTGAGAGGGCCGGGTGATGCTGCTCATGGCATAGTGACACCCATTTGAGCCAGAAAATCAGCAGGAACAGGAGCTGTGAACCGTGATGCAGGGTCAGGGCGAGATGATTTGAGTGTTACAGTGCTGCTCTTGCCTTGGAAACCAGCAGCACACATGCATCACAAGATTCCCCCTTTAGGGTGTTCTTCCAGCTACAGCACTTTGCTTTAGTGTAATGTAACTGTGATGCTTGTGGCGATATACACTGCAGTAATACGGGTGGAGGCTAATCTAAAAACAGTAGGTATATGCATAAGAACTGTGAAGAAATGATTTTTAATTGATTGAAATTGCAATAAAGCATGCATAATCAAAATGAATCAGTGGTATTTGGGGTGATTTTTGCTATAACTACATATTGTTGCCTCTTGCTATTTTAATCTGGACAATATGATGCTGGATGGATTAGAACCAAATTATAGTTTTCCTGTAGAATATAGGCTAATATATGGATTTACAGTAGTGTATGTGTGTTTGTTTTGCAAGTCTTTGCAGAGGAGACTGCAGCTCAGGGTTGTATAAACTGTCCTTGATAGACTTTCTCTCCAGTCCAGTAATAAGCAGCTGGAGTAGGATTCAATGAAAGCATTGTTAAAGCTAACACTGCTGGGATATCTCCCTCTCTGTAAACTGTTACATTATCACAAGGATTGTATTACATGAACAGAAACATGAGGAAGCTTGTTTTTCATAATTTCAACTGTTTGTTTTAAATGTATTTTTTTCAGGATTTTTTTTTTTTTACCTTGTATTCATTTCTGTCTTTCTTTTTTTTAAATCTTAGCATAGAATTGGAAATACATGACATTTAAAAGTAGGCTATGGTTTCGTTATCTGACACTTTCCATAAAGCAAACACATAATGAGTTAGGGCAGAACTAAAGACAGATTAGATCCAAAAGTGTTTCCACATTGAGGTAAAATCTCAGTAAGCATGTTCTTGATTTACAGTAATCTGACTAAATATGAAACATGCAGCTGAACCTATAATTTCCAATTATTTAACAAAAGCAGTGACAATATGTTGGTGATGTTCCCTAATGATAAGGGATGTTTTATAACGATCAAACACTACTAACACATCAACATCAAATCCCAGATCAATGCTGCCCTGATTCACTGGCTTTGGAAATACAAACACACAACATATGTTATATTAGCCTACCTAACCACAGATGCTGTGTAAGGCTGATGCCAGTGTTTCTGTTTGGTATAAAATACCTATGTTGATGGTTAATTGATATTTTTTCCATGCATTTTGCTAAGTTTATCCTTAACTTTATGTACACATCAGTGCAATGTTATATTAATTGACTTACAGTTTTCTTTCCTTACCTAGAAAATGTCAATAACTACAAATATTGAACAAAACACCCCATGCACAGCAAATATGAGCTGTCAGATGCCGGTTGGTCACAGGAACAACTTAAGTCTAAAAGCTCTCAGTAAAAGTCATCTCAGTGTGTGGTGGTTAAGTTTGATTTAAACATTGAAATATGTTTATAATATCCCTCTATGTGAACTCAGTAGATAAGATTTAGGTAGCTACCAGGTACTGGACTGTGGCAGCACCGGGTTGTTGTTGGTGAGTAAATGTTTATATGGCTTCACAACTTGAGAGACTTGTAAGAGAAAAATAACTGACGCACTTAGTATTCCCACAATCACAGTGTTTCCAGTGATGACTAAAAGTGTGAACCGATTATAAAGGTTGGAGTTCTGCTTTGTAAATCTTATATGTGCTGAATAAAGCACACGAAACTAAAAAGAACCATAATGGTTTCATGTCATGTTCTAGCTCTGCGGACCTTTGACAAAAACACAAGACAACGTGAAACTCTTTGATTTTTGAACGGAGTTTGGCCGGAAGTGATCTCCAGAGACGGGGCGTATCGGAATTTGGCAACAGCCGTCATTACGTTTTACGACGTAACGTATTACGTGTGTAAAGATGGCGGCTCGCAGTGTCAGGTCGTGTGTTGTGAAACACAGCTAGTTAGTCTCACAATGACATTATGTTAGCTGTGTTAGGATAGTAAATTATACGTTTTATAAACAGTACAGATGTGGCATTGTAGATAACACGTCACAACGTAAGCGACTGAATCTGGTGATACATTTTTAACATGGTAGCGAGTACCTGAATGGCAACTGTCTCCAAGTAGAAGAAACATAACAGAGAGAAAATGCTTCCAACTACATGGTCACGTCTTTCCTGCAGAGCTTTGTCCAGCCGAGGACAGAGGACGCTGAGTCTGTTCTCCAGCTCGGGACCTTCAAACTGGAGTAAAGTGGTCTCCGATGCAGAGAAGATCGTCGGATATCCAACCTCCTTCATGAGCCTCCGCTGCCTGCTCAGTGATGAACTCAGTAATGTTGCCATGCACGTCCGGAAGCTGGTCGGGACGCAGCACCCGTTACTCAGCACTGCGAGGTAACACTGCCGAAGAGACACTGCTTTATACTTTACTTACTTCCTCCAAGGAGTCAACTCCAAACCAAACTTCATGTAAAAAAAACTGCCAAAAAAACACCACTCTCTCTCAGCAGACCTTCAACTATAGGCAATTAACTTTTAAAGAAGATTCATGTTATTATCTAATCACTCTATGTTGGCATTAATACAATCCAGTAACTGACACTCTCTTTAAATAAAATTACAACCTTTCCCCTTTTATAATTCTGGAGGGAGATGCTGACTCTAGTTTGTGCCTTTCATATACTTCTCATTTTTACTAATGAGAATTTGTACTGATGATTACATTCATACTACTAATACTTATGTAACCCAGCAGCACTCATTTCATTGTTTGTTGATATTTACAATATTTACCCACACACAAACACACTTGACCCCGCCTGCAGCATTCATAGTATCCCCTTACATGTGGGTACACAACAGTTGTCAGTGATCAATATGAGATTTTTGTCAGTCATTGATGTTTCTTTTGCTTGCTGTCAAAATGTGATATTGTGTGTATTATTTTTACTAACCATCTCAAAACTAGTCTATGTGCATCATACTCTAAGTTTATTTCCATGTGTATACTATGCTGAGGAGAATGTTGAGTTTTGCACAGATAGTGTGTAATTTTTGTCATGTTAGCACACATTAAAACCCACACAACTTGTGGTCTTTATCAGACAGAGGGGACATGTTTGTTTCCTCACATCCAGCCGCTGTTGTATATGTCGAACACAAATTTTATATATTTTACAGCTCGTACTATGTTTTAGGACTTTCTCATCTCAAGCTTCATTATTACATAACACAAATCTTAG